TTTCTTTTTATTAATAATTTTAATGAACATTTACAGAGAATTTGGATTTCCATTCATTCATTGCTGCACTTCTCTCCCCGCCCAACCCTCTCCCCCCGCACCCCAGTTCGCTCCTCTCTTTCAAAAGTAAAAGAAAGACTCCCTCCCTGGTACACAATCCCCCCACACCCCTCCCACCTCCCCAAGTACATTCCACTATGCAACCTTAATTGTGGACTCTTGTGATTACCATAATACCCTATCATACATCACTTTTAGATTATTCAGTCTCTCATCTGTTTCAGTGCAGTATACACAATTTATCCAGTTTTTGTATTATCTGAATATTCTTGTTGTTATGTGCTGTCGAGTCATCTGTGACTCACAGTGACCCTATGTATGAAGCCTGCCCTCTCCTGAGCCAGTCTCACTGATTCTGACATACCTACCCCCATTGCCCCAGTTATTGTATCACTCCATCTCATCTGGGGTCTTCCTCTCCTACACTATCTCTTCACCCATCCAAGCATGGTGCCCTTCTCCAAGGACTGATCTCTCCTGGCCCCGTGCCCACAGTATGTGAGATGGAGCTTCAAATCCTAGCCTCCAAGGAAAAACTTGGTTTCATTCTCTCCAACACAGACCAATTTGTTTTCTTGGTGGTCTATGGTATGTTCAAGACTCTTTTCCAGCCACATAACTCAAAACTCTTCTTCTGTCATCCTTTGCCATTGTCCAGCTGTCTGATACATAACATGTAATTGTGAAGACCATGGCCTGGATTAGAATAACATCATTGCTTCTCAGTACTCTGGAAAGTAGATTTAACTAATGAAATTCGTCTTTTGATTTCCTGACTGCTGGTGCCAAGAGTGTTGATTGTGGATCTGAGTAAGCTGAAGTTGTTAACAACCTCAATCTCTTCTCCATCCATCATGGTTCCAACAATTGGCTCAGTGGTAAGAATCTTTGTCTTTTTGATGTTGAGCTTCAGTTCCTATCAAAGACCACAGTCCTTGACCTTCTTCAGCAAGTGCTTCAGGTCCTCCTCAGTTTCAGCAAGCTAGGTTGTGTTATCTGCATAATGTAGATTGTTGATGAGTCTTCCTCCAATCCTGATGCCACATTCCTACTCATAAAGCTCAGCCTCCTGAATGATCTGTATATAGGTTGAAAAGGTATGGAGATAGGATACATCCCTGGCATACTCCTTTCCTGATTTTGAACCATATACTGTTTCCCTACTCTGTTCTGAGGACTGCTTCCTGGTCCAAGTATAGGTTTCACATGAGCACAATTCTGGGATTCCCATTTTTCCCAAGCTTAACCACAATTTGTTGTGATCCACACAAATGTCTTTGCATAGTCAATGAAACACAGATAGATTCCCTCTGGTACTCTTTGCTTTGTGCCAAAATCCATCTGACATTGGCAACGTGTCTCTAGTGCCATGGTCTCTTCTAAACCCAGCTTGTATTTCTGGTAGTTCTCTGTCAAGTCCAGTCATCTCTGAATAATCTTCAGCAGGCTTTTGCTTGCATGTGATATGAGTACTATTATATAATAATTTCCATACTCTGTTGGTTCACCTCTTTTTGAAGTGGGAATAAATATGGATCTCTTTCAGTCAGTTGTCCAGGTAGTTGTCCTCTAGATTTCTTGGAACAACCTGGTGAGTACATCCAGGGCAGCATCTCTTTGTTGAAATATGTCAATTGGAATTTTATCACTCCCAGGCCTTTATTTTTTCCCAAGTCCTCCAGAGCAGTCTGAACTTCCTCCTTCATCACCATTGTCTCTTGATCATATTTTGTTTCTTGAAATTCTTCTGTGCCAACCAATTCTTTTTGGTACAGTGACTCTGTATCATTATTTAACTTGGAAACCTTAGTTTCCCACTTTCACGTCATGAACACAATCTCAATGAAGGGAGATATCATTGTCCTCAGTGCCTTTGTGTCCCCTAAAGCCATGTGTGAGCCAGCTGAGAGTCTTCTAGAACACCTCATGTATACACCCATGACATTCCCATTGCCATTCAAGGGAATTCTGACTCATAGTGACTCTCAGTTGAGTTTCTGAGGCTCTAAATCATAATGAGAGAAGACTGATCACCTTTGTTCTCACAGCGTACTTAGTGAATTGCTAACACTATTCTTTCAATTAGCAGCCTGACACATAATGAATTGTGCCAGCATGGTTCCTTCATTGTGTTTGTTGTTGTTAGGTGTGATCATGTGGACTATGTCTCATAGTGATCTTTTGAACAACAGGTCTGTACCTTCCACGTCCTGTGCCATCTTCACCTTCTCTGATATGGTCAAGTCCATTGTTACAGTCCCTGTGTCAAACCAGCTTGTTGAGGGTCTTCCTGACTCTCCACCTCTCCCCCTATGATGTCTTTTTCCAAGACTTCCCCCTCCCAACAACCACTCAAAGACAACTCAAAGATACAGATACTTCGGTTCAAATTAAACAGGTATTCCACGGGAGAAAGATAGACAGTCTCCCCTCAGTTTACTACCTGTGAAAATCCTCTGTAAAGTCATCAGTGAGTCAGTTCTAACTGAAATGTACTCAACTACAACAATAGGCAAGATCATGATGCTGTTGTTATGGGTCATTGAGTTGCTTGTGACTCTATGTACAATAGCTCTGAGACTTGTTCTATCCTGTGCCAAGCTTATTGTCTCTGACACATCTAACCTCATTTCCCCAGGCACTGAATCAATCCATCTCGAGGGTCTTCTTCTCTTTTTTATTTTTTTCACTTAACAAACACTTATTGTCATTTTACCATGTCTAAGACCATTTCAGGTTTTTTATTTTATTTTATACTGGTTTACATACAAAGTTAATAAAGTTCATATTTATATTGATCTTCCTCTCTTGCGCTGTCCCTCCATCCTTCTAAGCATGATTTCCCTCTCCAAGAACTGCTCCTTCTTGGAAACATGTACAAAGTATGTCAGATGAAGCCTCAGAATCCTTGACTCCAAGGAGCAGCCTGGTTTCATCCTCTTCAGGCCAAACCTGTTTGTTCTCCTAGCAGTCTATGGTATATTCAACACTCTTCTATAGCACCATAGCTCAAAGGCAACAATTCTCTTTCTATCATCCCTGGAAGTTGTTCAGCTCTCTGACTCATAGCAAGTACTTGATAGATTATGATAGATGGAGAAAATATTGACTCTGTCTATGATTTTCTTTTTTTGTATCCATAGTAAAAATTCATGGTTATTGTTGTTGTTATGTGCTGTCGAGTCTCCTGTGACTCATAGTGACCTAAACCCTGCTCTATCCTATGCCAATCTGATTGTCTCTGACACACTTACTTCCATTACTCTAGTCACTGAATCAATCATTGAGGGTCTTTCTCCCCTGTGCCATCCCTCCACCCTCCCAAGCATGATGCCCCTCTCCGAGGACTGGTCCCTTCTGGAAACATGTCCAAAGTATATCAGACAAAGCCTCAGAATCCTTGCTTCCGAGGAGAAGCCTGTTTTCACCCTCTCCAGGATGAACGTGTTTGTTCTCTTAGCAGTCCATGGTATGTATATTCAATACTCTTCTCCAGCACCACAGCTCAAAGGCATCAATTATCCTGCGCTCATCCCTAGTCATTGTCCAGCTCTCTGATGCATAGCAGGTGATTGCAAAGATCATTGCCTATATCAGGCTCACCTTAGTCTTTAGAATGACATCATTGCTCTTCAGTACTTTGGAGCGGTCTCTAACATCAGACTTTTCCAATGCAATTTGTCTTTTCATTTCCTGACTACTGGTACTAAGAGTGTTGACCGTGGAGCCAAGCAAACTAAAGCTGTTAACAATATCAATCGCTTCACCATCTAACGTGATGCTGCCAGCTGGCTCAGTAGTCAGAATCTTTGTTTTCTTGATGTTGAGCTTCAATCCATACTGAAGGCTGTAGTCCTTGACCTTCTGCAGCAAGCTCTTCAGGCCCTTCTCAGTTTCAGCAAGCAGGGCTGTGTCATCTGCATAACATAGGTTGTTGATGAGTCTTCTTCCAATCCTGTTGTCATATTCCCCCTCAGAGTCCAGCCTCCCAAATGAGAAGAAAATTTTTTACCAATTATTCTAGCTTCCATTGTTGGCTATTTGTCAGATACATTATACTTTCTCTTTCTTTAGAGAATCCTTACCAATAGATTATTATACCCCAGATAATTTTTCTTCTCAGTTATTTTCTTTCAATTATTCTTCATTCTTAGATAATAATGTAATAATTAAGTGGGCTTAATTTTCATGAACCATTATTACTCGTCTCCTAGTGATGTTTGGTGAGAAATATAAAGAAGTGATAATATTGTTGTTGTTAGGTGCTTTTGAATCACATACAACTCATAATATAAGTATAAACCAAACATTGTATGGTCTTGTCAAACATGATATTGTTTTGATTGATTAAAAATATAGTTCTTTGAAAGGAGATAGAGGCGCATGAGGAACTAGGTGTCTTTCAAAATGAAATGATTCAGAAAAGTGAGAAATCTTAAGACCTATTTATGTTAGGAGAAAGAAAACTTGCAAAACAATATGTTATAAATTTGCTTTATTGATAATGTCAAGAGAGAGGAGAAGAAAAACATCACAAAAGTATAGCCTCCATAGATCATGGGACTTTTCATTTGCCCTTTTATAACTACTGCAAGGAAGGATTATTACATTTGTAAGATGGGATCTCCTTCACTGGTGGGCATCAAAGAATTTGCTCTGTCCTGGAGAACAACTCAAATTGAGTTTGTATAATCAACAGTGGCAGGGAGAGTTCTCTTTAAATGAGTTCAGCCTTAGATGCAGGGCATTGGAAGGAAAAGAATGATAATTTAGTAAACAAATGAAGCGTCATATTAATTATGATGTAAAATTGGAGACTGTCTCTGTGATGGTAATGGAAGGAAGTGCAGGTGGAGCCGTAATAGACAAGGATATGAGAAGTGGATGCTAGACAACATCACTCCTAACTCTGGTAGCATATAGATAAAAGACCAGGAGAGGAGGGAGCTGGAGCAGGGGCCTGAGGCCTATTGGATGGAGAACTGTCAGTAGAGCTTCAGTGCTTGTAGCTCTTCCGGCTAGAGGATGAGGTGGTGGTGTATTTGACAGTGGAACTGCTGCCTCCCGTAGAACTGAAGCCACCTCCAATGCATCTGCCACTGCTGGAACTGAAGCCACCTCCAAGGCTGTGACCACTGCCATACGAGTAGCCACTGCCCCCACCAAGGCTTAAACCACCACCCATCCCACTGGTGCTGCCATAGCCGTTGGAGATGTTGGACTGCACCACAGCTGTGAGGGGAGAGAAACAAGGATAGGATGATATATAAGATGTTCTTATGTCAGTCTGCATCCAGACATAAGAACAAAGGCAATGGAGGAAGGCATGAAAGTGTACTCACAGATGTTGACTTGTCCAACACCTTCGCCATTCAGCCTAGGAGAGAAGATACACAGAGCTATTACTTCAGAAAATCTTTACTTGGATGGAATGGGGTGTTTTATCTGGGAAACAGTCTTTGGGACATGGCCTTTCTTATTGTATAACAATTGTGTACAGTTGTAATATTGAATAACACTATGACCATGACCAGTCTGACATAAAATGATACTCAGAGAGTGAACATTAGATGTTTAAGGAACTTATGTGAGTCAAGTACCTGCACTCCTCGCCTTCTAGCAATGTCCTGTAGGTAGCAATCTCCACGTCCAGGGACAGCTTCACATTCATCAGTTCTTGGTAATCTTTCAATAGCCTGGCCATGTCCTGCTTGGCCTTCTGCAGAGCATCTTCCAGGTCTTCCAGCTTGTTCTTGGCATCCTTGAGGGCCATTTCTCCACGCTGTTCAGCATCAGCAATGGCAGCCTGCAGGCTGGCACACTAGATAGGGATAGGAAGGAGAAAGAATCTCTAACATCACTCTTCAGAGGAGACTCACTCTAGTTCTGATTTCTCAGTGAGAAGAAATTCTACTTCTAAGAAGTGAAGACTTTTCCAGTCTTTTTCTGTATTTTAAGGATTGTCAAGTGGAGAACTTGACAACAATTCATGTAGCTTTATGAGGTTGTAGATAATGACATAATTAAATAAAGACTTGGCATTGGATAAAAGATTCCCTATAACTTATTTGTAGTTTTGTCAACAAAATTAAAACAGGAATATATTTTTGATGATTTCATGTGGATACCACAAAAAAATATACACAATCATAAACATCTTCAGCTGAGGTGCTGGGTTTTCACCTCAGACTCTTTAAGATTTTGTTTTGTTCTACCTCAGAGGCTCTTACACATTTGGGAAATAATACTCTTTGTTTCATTCCCCTTTGCATCATTCCTTGTTTCACCATAGTTTTTGATTACCTAGTCAACAGACTTTCTTGAGCTTTCTGATATTTTCTTTCCCAACATTGTTTGCATTTCCCAAGTCAATCATTCTGGTTAAGTCCTCTAACCTTGATCTTTTAGACTCTGACTAGCTGAGGCAGACTATATCCACTCGTTCACACCTAGTTTTGGGGTTTGGACCATGCTTTCTAACCCACAAGGACTCCCTCAGGGCACCTGTTCTTCTCTTCCTCTCCTCTTGTCCCATCATTAGTCCCCAGGGATTTGTTTTTAAATCTGAGTTGTTGATGGAATTCTTGAAAGTAAGCAGGTTAAACACACGAACTTTGCCTTTCCTCACTATTGAATTGCCTTCATCATACCTGTTTCTTGACGTGGTCGATCTCAGATCTCAGCCTCTGGATCGTGCGATTGATCTCAGAAATCTCCTGCTTGGTATTGCGAAGGTCATCCCCATGTCTGCCTGCTGTGACCTGCAGCTCCTCGTACTGTAGTCCAGAGGGAGAGAGAGAGTATATGGATTTTCACAAGTAAGCAAAGGCTTTCTTTTCTTAATCATGCTTTTAAATAATTCAAATTTGTTTTTCATAAAGGAAATGTAGATGTCACGTGGCTATTAGATATGAAACAACTTTATTATAGAATCCCAGAGCATCCTTAGTATGGGACCACTATTGATTTTGTTCTTTTCTGGGCTGGTAATATTCTGTGCAATGTTTCTAAAATTCAACATCCAAGATGAGGCTAGAAGCAATAATTCATCAAATCAGAGATTTCCTCCAGCATTGGCTTAATTTACTTAATACATTTGGCCATAAATTATGTAAATATCAACTTTAACACTGCAAGAATATACATCCTGTGAAAAGACCTAAATTCCTAGAAATGTATTTCACAAATAATATCTGTAACCTGAATGGTCACCATGAGAAGGAGTCACAGTCAGCTCACTGCTCACCTTGGTCTGGTACCAGGACTCGGCCTCAGCCCTGCTCCTCTGGGCAATCTCTTCATATTGGGCTTTGACCTCAGCAATGATGCTGTCCAGGTCCAGGTTGCGGTTGTTGTCCATGGACAGGACCACAGATGTGTCTGAGATGTGAGTTTGCATCTGAGATAGTTCCTGTAAAATGTAAGATTGTAAGACCACCATTTCCAGAGACATTCACAGGGGATCCCATCCTGAAACCTCCCACCCATTGCTTAATCCCCTTAGATGAAAGAAAATGAAGATAGAGATACTTACAGCATCATAGAAGGCTTTCAGGAAATTGATCTCATCTATAAGACTATCTACATTGGCTTGCAGGCCAACCTTGGTAATGTAAGCAGCATCAACATCCTGAGGACACATCAACAAAGAGAGATCAGCTGAGTTCTCATTCCATTTCTATTCAATTTTTAGACTCTCTACCTGCCTTAAGAATCTTGAACCTATGATCTTAAGGCAACTCACCTTCTTCAAAGTGACAAATTCATTCTCTGCTGCTGTGCGCTTGTTGATTTCATCTTCATATCTAGAGTAAGAAGAAAAATAATAGCATGAACCAGTGGGTAAAATGATATAGAAAAAGCAGTCTGAGAGCCAACACCTTCCATAAAACTCAGTATTTACAGATTGAATTTTCTTACTACTTTCTGCCTGAAAGAAAAATTTTTTATGATGTATCCCTTTTTCTCCCAGTCCTTCCTCTAAACCCAAATTTGCTTCTGTCTTTTAGATTTGCTTTTACACATTAAATTGTGGGGTTTTTTACTTCCATTGAGGTTTGTTTAGTTGTAAGATCAGTTTCCATTTTGTGATATCTATTTCTTGAAGATTGACCCTCAAGGATTACGCCCTACACAATTTCTTTTAACGTACTTGTTCTTGGTGTCCTCAACCAGGTCCTGCACACTTCTGAGTTCTGAGTCCAGGCGGCCTCTCTCCCCAGTGATACTATCCAACTGTCTCCGCAGGTTGTTGATGTACTGCTCAAACAGGATGTCCAGATTCTGGCTTACAGGCCTGGTGCCCTGCTCTTGGAGCAGGGTCCATTTGGTATCAAGGACCTTGTTCTGCTGCTCCAGGAACCGCACCTGGACGGAAAACAAGGTGGTCAGTCTGTGTCCATGAAGGCCTGGGATGTTCCTATGATGCTGGTCTAGGAGGAGCAGGTCAGAGGCTCGTGTTGAGAGTCCTGTTGTCCAAATCTTTCCTTCATACTCTATAGATCTGGCAAGAAAGGGACCTTTGGGTTTTTCTTACGCTGAAAGTTACTTAGCTGGTCAGTGACTTTCAGTATACTCATCTCTTAACAAGCAGAAATATTAAAATTGTTTGAAGATAACATTTAGAAGATATACATAAAATTTATCCCTGCAATTAGAAAGAATGCTTACTACTGTAGCATATTAGATTATAATTCAATTTCCCCTTTCTGCATGATTCCCCTCTAAAGTATCTTTGATGGATGGCTATCCCTGTTTCTAGATTCAGTTCTGTAACAACAACAAAAAAATAATTTAAGAAGCTTTCTGCCTCTGGATAGAATATTTTTCTCCTTTAGAAGTTATTTTAATTTTTTTGGAAAATATATTGAGTAAAATGTATACCAATTCATCAATTTCTACATGTAAATTTCAATGACATTAGCAGTCTTCAGGGTATTCTAGGATCATAGCTGTCCTTTTCCAACCTCTTTCTCCACTCTTAATATAAACTCCTATTTCCCTCCTTAACCTAAAATTAAGATTTTCTGTAACCAGCCTTTACTTCATAATTGCTTAGGGTATTCTGAGATAAAAAGTAAAGACATTACAGTTTATTATTCTTTTTAAATGACTCAAGATGAGGAAAAGTTGAAAAATCTTCCGGGATAGGAAAGACAGTAATTTAAAAGAGTTATCATGTTAAAAAAAAAAAGGATTTATCATGTTCAAAATTGTTCCCATTTCCACTATCTGTTGTCAGTAAGGAGCCAATGTGGATGCTATAGAATGCTAATTTGAGCCTCCTTCTTCCTATGTCCTCCCCTGGGACAAATTCATCATTTCTCCAGTCAGAGGACTCTGAATCAGCTGTCACAGAGAATATCCTGCTGGCTTACCTTGTCAATGAAGGAGGCAAACTTGTTGTTGAGGGTCTTGATCTGTTCCCGCTCCTCAGTCTTCACTCTCTGGATAGTTGGGTCAATTTGCAGGTTGAGAGGAGTGAGGAGACTCTGGTTGACAGTGACCTCTTGGATGCCCCCAGGAGGGCAGACAGGGAAGCCAGAGCCCCCATAGCCACCAGCAAAGCCAGTTCCTCCACCAAGCCCAAAGCCACTAGCAGCTCCAGCACCAAAACCAAATGCACCACCGGCTCCTGCTCCAAAGCCAAAGCCACCTCCAACTCTGCTGCCATATCCACTCCTCATGGCACAGCTGCCACCTCCAATGGCGATTCTCCTGGAGCCTCCCAGGCTGTAGAGGCTCCTGCTGCCAAAGCCAGCTCCTCCACAGGCCCCAGTGAGGCCCCCACTGCCCCTGGAGCGGGACACAGAGACGCTGCTGAAGCCTGAGCGGCAAGTCTTGGGGACTCTGGCTGAGCTGGTGCTGAAGGCACGGTGGCTTGTGGTGGATTTGCTAGACATGGTTCTCTACAGATGAGAAGGCGAAGAAAGCTTGTGAAGTGGGAGTGTAAAGCTCAGAGGAGCAGAAAGCAAAGAATGTCCTCCCGGCAGCACTTTTATATATGGTGAGAATGGGCTGGGCTCAGTCCTGAAAGGTGAGCTTGCAGGTTGGGAAGGGCTGAGCTTTGCATACAGTGAGATCACACCCAGATTATTAGTAAAGTGATGAAATATGAAGATTGCTTTTTTAGTTTCCTTTAGTCAGGGAAAACTTCTTCAATCCTCCAGCTTTAAGTTGATGTCAAGACAATAAGTCTTTTCTCAATTCATCATAGTCAGGAGTTAGTCACTATCTCTAACAAAGGTTCATCATATTATTATGCTTGGTGTCAAAATATACTGAGTAATGTCTTCTCTGTCTGATCATTCTTCTCAAAGAGATTGGAGATCAGATGTCATCCCTTACACATGCCCTAACTGAAATATCACTGTTTTTCAATGAATATGAATATTAAGTCTATACTTTTTCCTTAAAAATATTAAGCAGGTTGGAAAACAAAACAACAAAATGAGCACCTATGTGTCCACAACTCTGTATTTTTTTAAAATATACTAATAGCCAAATAAGTTTCTCTTATGTATTGCCATGATTCCAGATGTAGACGTAAGTGAATGTCTACTTAGAACATTATTTTTATTTGTAGTTATTCACATCTTTAAAAATTTAGTAAGCAATACACAATTAGGAAACAAATATATGTTTAAGGTTATTCTCTAGCTACTCACTTCTATTTGGAGGAAACCACTGTTGTTAGTTCTTGGAAAACCTTTAAAACTATCTTAGGTCTTTCCTGGGATCTGTTATGTCCTAGGGTTAATGATCTCCATCTATCTAACTGTCTTCTTACAAGACGGGTTCTCTCTCTGAGTATACAAACATCTCTCTCATATGTTCTCTTTTTCTTAGGGTTTCTAATTGTGCTTAGATTGGCCCACTTTATTCTCATATTTACATTTCCTTCAGCATCGCTATCCATACTCTCGTAGCCAGCTGCCATATCACTCACTCACTCACTCACTTTTTTCAATCTTCTCTACATTCACTATTCTGCATTCAGCAATTCTCTTTTTCTTAGAGTTTCTAATTATGCTTAGGTTGGCCCACTTTGTCTTTCATATTTACATTTCCTTTATTATCTCTGTCCATATGCTCTGAGCCTCCTGCCATAGCACTCATTCACTTTTCTCAATCTTTTCTATGTTCATTATTATGCATTCAGCAATTGTTTGCACTTTATTCAACTTTCAATTTGGCTTCATTTCTAAGAGGGCTTTAACTTTTGTTTTTTTCAGAAGTCTGAAATACAATGTTTAGAATTTTATTGTTTTAATATATTGTCCTTTTACTCTCTTTTCTCAGAGAAATAATTATTTTGGTCAACTTTAATTTCATACTGAATTTTTTTCTAATGAATGTTATTTGTTGTTGTTATGTGCTGTTGAGTCGTTTGTGACTCATAGTGACCCTATGTACAACAGCCCTAAACCCTGCTCTATCCTGTGCCAATCGCATTGCCTCTGACACACCCATC